GTCTGGCCCTGGTGGTTGTGATGGTCTGCTGGTAGTCCAGGTGGTGTTGTCGATGTCTGGTCCATGTGATGAACCATGTCCATGAACACCTCCGATTGAAGCTCGACATGTTCGCTAATGCAGGCTTCCCAGTACTTATCGTCATCTTGTCCGCCACTCAGCAAGCTCAAATGAGTCAGCAGCTCTTTCTTCACATTCTTGTCCAGGGTGACCTCGATCGGGTCATGGCGCACGTCGTCCAACTCTTGCACGAAGTCCGCCTTGAACTCTTGCAGCACATACACAGTCACCTCCTCATCCCCCAAAGGGTAGTCCACAGCGTGCGTCTTGGCAATGTCCAACACATTCACGTCGCCCTCGTCCACATTAAAGATCACTCGAGCTGCTCGGGGCGACTTCAGGACTGCATTCCTTGTGCGGGGTACAGTCTTACCAGTGAATGCCCAGACATAGCTGTTGGCTGGATCGACCAAAGTAGCCAGCATCTCCAAACTCTCGAAGGACAGCCCGATCTCATCCGCGGTGTCCTCCTCCTGTAGACCACCTATTGGCTCCCAAGTGCCATCCATTGATGCGTCCTGTCTGGATTGTACCCCCCAGAACGCAGAAAGCTGGCCATCACACCGTTTGACTCGGACATCAAGGTCTGGTCGTGACAGCTTGGGCACTTCCATGCCCACCGGTCTCGAAGTTGATGGGGCTTGAGTGCCTCCGCTTGGCATTGGAAGCAAAGTTTCACCTCGAACGCCGCCATCACCGAGTTGAGCTCGATCCAGTCCGTCCAGACGAACTCGCAGCTCGGGCCGCCTCGCTGGCATATCCACAGGTACTTCTGCTTCCCCTCGCGCCAGTTCAACACAAGCTCGCCCACAAGACACTTCGTGCAGCTCCGTGTCGGAGCCGCCCCCGGCATCAGAAGGTTCAGGGCGTCCTCCATCATCTCCTTGTCGTGCTCCCAGTCTCCAGCCAAGGTTGGTGGAGGTATGGCTTGGCTGTCCGGCGTGCCAATCTCGAATTCTGACTCACATCTCGGCCGCGCCGTGGGGGATGTAGCGGTGGCTCCATCGCCTCGGTTGGGAGCATCGGCCCTTCCGAGCGTGGGCCGCTCGAACGTGCGGTAGCCGCCGCTGTTGTTCTTGCCGTCAATCGTGCCGAAGACACTGTCTGCCGCAGGTTGTCTCCAAATGTTGGGGTAGGACTCGGTCGTGCCGGAGTGGCCGTCGACGTCCGGGTCGTAGGCACCGATGGCGTGGTCATCGTCGGTGGTGGTCCGGCAGTCGGCGTTGTCGAGCTCGTCGCGGTAGTTGTCCCGGCTTTCTTGGCTTGCTTGGCCTCCTTCTTTTGCTGGGGTGTCACATAAGAGGGCTTCTGATACACCAAGACAGTGTTCCACTCTGTCATCCGGTCTGGGGTCAGCTTGGGTATCTGCTCGATAGCCCCACAAGCGTCGCACTTGGTCCAGCTCCAGTCGCGGTTGCAGCCGTGGCTTGTCGTAGTATGCGTGCAAGTTGGCGATTGCCGCAACACCGGCGCCAGGTATTGGCTCCGTCCAAGGTGCTGTGCCAGGGGTCGCTGCTGACCCGTCTCGTCGATGATGTTCGTGTTCAGCATTGGCACCTTGCCCGAAGACGTGCGCCGAGATGCTTCCATGAGCTCTGCCTCCTTCTGCTGCATGTCCAGAACCTGCCGTTCCAAACGCTCTCGTCTGGCGGCCAGGCGACGGACGTCTCGAAGTTGAGGCTGTTGAGCCACGATCATCAAGGCATTGGCGGCCTGAGTCCACACCACCAATCGCAAGCGCAAGTAGAAGCGCCTCCAACGGCACGCGCATGTCGAAGGCATTTGCTATACGAATTGGAGTCGGGAGAAGTTGGTCAGACCAAACTTGAGATCTCCCAAAGCTGGCGGCTTCTGGCATTGAAAACCCTCGGCCATACTCAGTGATGCTAACTTCAACATGCCCAGTGCTTCGCCTATGCATCTGCTGTGTCACTCCAAGCGTGGTGTGGAACAAGGTCAGACCTACCATGTCAATGACGCTGCCCATGTCAGTCAACAAATAGGCGGGGATAAGGCAAGGAACAGGTCCAGGTACTATTTGCGCACGCAGAAGCCCCGAGCATCCGCCAATCCCGATGGGAATGTAGGCTATTGGAGTACGCTCCTCCGCCCCGCACACGCCACGGACCGTGCCCCCATCCTCGCCTGAATGCTGAACTTTCATGCCAAAACTGGTCAGCAGGTGCTGCTAAGGTTTCGCGCCCAATCAACCCGTGTTGCGCCGCCGTGTCCACCAGAGCCCTGCCCGGTGTCTCCATGCTTGTGGCAAAGTTGTAGGACAGGAAGTCAAGATTTTCCACGGGCCCAGGCGTCCCACAGCTTGTGTTAAAACAAGACAAGGCACATGTTCCAACCAGACTGTCCAGCATGTATTGCGGCCACTGCTGGTCTGACTCTCCTGTGGTCATGGACATGTAGCCGGCCGCACTGGTCTGCGGGGGCTCTACAAAGAACATAGCAGTGGTAGGCTTGCTTTGGCCACCGCTTGGTGGTCCAGCTTGCACCTCGTGGCTGCTCACGCTGTCGGCCTCGAAGTGGGCAATGGCGGCTCCAATGGCCAACTTGCTTGCAGGTATGGCAACGACTCTTCGCCATCAGATCGTTCACCGACAGCCGGGGCCGCCTGTCGAAACCACGACCATTTCGGGCATCTTGGAGCGCTCGGCGATAATCCTGGTAAGAGCCATAGACTCCAAAGACTCCAGGGGTACCCTTTGAGCCCTTTCCTTTGTAGTCCTTGCCCTTGCCGGTGAAGCGTCCCTTGTGGCCTTTGCCGTGCTTGTTCTTGCCCTTTCCTTTGCCCTTTATGCGGTCTCTGGCCTCGAACAGCGTCCACGCCAGGCGCCAGGTAGTCACCCATGAACTCGACGGCCTCCGCTTCCTCCACGATGTCCGGGGGGTCATGCTCCAGGACCATGTAGACCTCACCCGTGTCAGCGTCCAGGTCCAGGAGGTCCTCGAAGATGGTCGACTCCTCGGCGGGGTCCCGGTCATAGTTCTGGCCGTCGTTGCCGAAGTAGATGTCGTACTCGCCTGACTCGTCGCCATCGCCCTCGTGCCAGGTGCCTTCCCAATAGGTCTTGGCTTGACTGTCGTCCAGAGAGTCACCGAAGATTTTCCGGATCGCCAGCTCAATCTTCCTGAAGTCAATGCTGCCGTCCGTAAGGACTCGGATTCTTTGCTGCTGGTCCACGGTAAAGCCGCCCTGCTTGAGCAAGAGGTGACCCAGCAGGTGGTTCCCAGCATCCGTGGCCAGCATGTCCAGCCCTTGCTTTTTCAGCTCCGCAAAGGCTGCCTTCTTTGTCGCCAAGAAGCCCGTCAAGGTCTGTCCTGGCCTCCTGCGTCCACGGAAGATCGCAGCATCGAACGCTTGCTCCAGGCGAGCCTCCTTGAGGTAAGCGTGCGACTCCTCGATGACGGCGATGATCTGCTTATAGCCGTCGGGGGCGGTGATGTCATCCACAGAGAGGTGGGCCAAGGAGGCTGCCAGCCTGCTTCCAAAAAAAATCACATCGAGTATCCTCTTGCCAGTCAGGCTTGGTGGCAATCGAGCTTCCGCCTCGATAAGCCACAGCTTGAGGTTCCTGGCGTATTCCCGGTACTCGCTCTCCGGGTGCTCGCCATTCCACGAAGGAGCCGCTTCCATCTTGTAGTCCACGAAGCGCCTTGCTTGTCCCTCTTCGGAACCATCAAGGCCCCGTCTCCCATACGGCGGGGTGCCGTTCGGCGATCTCGGCCTCAACGGGGAACTTGCACCGAAGTCGCCTCCATTCGGGCGAAGTGCCCGACCATCATCATCCGTAGCCATCTTTCGCAGTCACCTGCAACGGCTTGTCCAAAATCTGCAGCTGCAAAGTCAGCTGCCCCTTCTCCAGTCCCCAATTGACTGGTATACAAAAGTCCTCGGGCCGGCAGGTCCTTGCCAAAGAAAAAACAGGTAAGTCACGAAGCTGTCTCGAACGAGGTCGGAGTTCACCTTGCCGAGGCGGAGAATCGGTGTCAGGTCCCGGGCAAAGAGCGCCAGAGAAGCAGCCAGCGCCGAAGAAGCGCCGAAGAACAGCCAGCGCCAGAGCAGCGCCGAGAAGCAGCCAGCGCCGTGGAGGCGCCGAGGAAAAGGCAGCGCCGCAGGAGCGCCCCAACGTCAGCCTTGGCCGTTACCACGGCTCCGCTGCCATGCGTAGCGGTACAAAGCGCAGCACACGGATGGGCTCTAGCACTTTTTCCAGAAGCTCAAGGCGCCTGCGTAGCGGACAGCTCAAGGTCACAGCTCGGCATGCCACCACATGTTGGAGCGTACTTACGGGCCCTCCTGCACACAGCTCTGGAGTTTACTGTCTACGGTTTTACACTGCCGTAGTGAGCCTGAAGCGCTGGCAAGCCAAACATGCCGTGGTGGCTTGCGCAGATTCGGATGATGACGCCCAAAAGTGCCACTGAAACCGTTAGCCTCCGAAGCTACTCTCAGGAAATGTCTTTGCCAGTTGGTTAATGTGGCACACTGCGAAATTCTGATTCACGAGGACTAGTAGTCCCTGTACTTGTCAATTTGCACTGCACCCCGAGGCCCTGAAACCATTCTATGAGGAACCCACAAACAATGCAAGACAGGCTCCTGCGCCCGCCACAACGCGGAATGGTCAACCGTATAGGGTTGGTATGCATGCCTGAGCCGAGTGCTCTGCTTGTGGCTTTCGATTTTGGCTGCTGGCTTGCCCGAGCTTGGTTCTTTTTCGCGCTATCCATGGAATGCACATCAAAAATCGCAATGGTCATTACTCAGGATCTTTTGGGGTAGAGACGGTATAGGAAGTCAGTGGCGGAAATCAGTGGCGTAATCCACTATAGAAGCTGCAAGCATTGGCATACACTGGTTGTATTCAATGGACAAGGTCAACGTTTGCGCAGCAGTTGAAGAATTTGGAAAATGGGGGGTCCAGGGCCCGCAGGGATGTCCGCAAGCTTCTGCTTGAACTGGTGAGTTTGGACTGCCAGCAGCCACCCCTTTTCACCTAAAACGCCATACGAGGATCACTCGCATCTTGTCACTGACTTGGCAAAACACAACAAAGACCACAAACGCAGCCTGCAGCCAGCGGGCACAACCCCGACAAAGAACACTTTCAACCTTCCCAAAGTGGAACTGCTCAGCGAAGACAAGCCCAAACCCAGAGAGTGCTGCCTCCCTACAGTACCCCGACTCCCTGCTCACAAGACCAGGAAACTCCGCAAATACATGCTGCGTGGGGAAGGACAGTCTAATGCTTCTTTCGCCTCTCCTTAGAAGCAGATGGCCGTCAACTTGGGTGTGTGAAGGATTTGGGACCCATGGCCCTTCATCTCGTTACATCTTGGGCCATCTCATCTCAGAACACGGAGATTTCCATAAACAGGGGCCGTAACATAGAGGCAAATCCATTATTTCCCTTCTTTTCGATCCGCAGCCCCTATCCAATTTCTGGAGGAAGGCTGTGCCTGGATGCAAGATTAGGAACCAAGCAAGTAAACTTGGCCTCTGCGGGGGATCAAGAATGAGAGGAGCTGATTTTGCTGTTGGGTCTGGCCAAAATGCATTTTCTGGAGTTCTGAGGTTGGTTATTGAGCCCTGGGCACAGAAGCAGAGACTGTGCGCAACTGGGGATCCGTTAGATGGAGACGGAGCCGGCTGGGAAAGGCACTGCTCAAGGGCCGCTTTGGATGCTTCGCAAACCTTAGCTCCAACTGCATATGCTGCAGCTCTACATGGCAGACTGAGCTCATAAGCTTGCCGCACTTGTCCGAACGACCACCCCAAAGTCAGGCAAGCTACGTGAGGCCAATCAAACTCGGACTGCTTCTGGAACAGCTTGTGGGTCTCTTCGTTTGCCGCGTGGTATTGCGTCAGCAGGCGCATTCCCAGGAACCGCATTGGGTCACCTGGATAATCACTACGCAAGTTCGGCGGTGCTGTCCAAACTTGCGTGTCCAACAACTGGGGATGTGGCATCTGTCTTCCGCCAATTCAGCTAGAAACTCCCACAGCCCCTCCTGATCCGCAGCAGCTGTAAGCTTAGTCAAAGGACTCTCCATCTTTAAGAGCTGCAGCATTCTCCTACATTCCCTATATCCACGAGCGTTGACAGCAAAAACAGCGTCCTTCAGTCCATCAACAGATGGCGCCGTGGCTTGCAACTGCTCCATGGACTCTGTTATGACCTGCGAAAGTAAGTTTTAAGCGACGACGTGTTGGTCATTTCGGATGTCTTCAGATGCTGTGCTGTAAATGATTAGCACTGATGCACCTGTAAGCACTTGCACAGGGGCCTGGACGCTGTCGGGACTATCCTCTTCACTCGGATGCGACACTCCTGTGATAGCTTGAGGAGGCTTGAGGGGGCAGGGCATGAGGGAGCTGACAGACAGGGTTGTCTTCGGGAAAACTGCGCCCCAAAGATATACACGCACTCTGTGAATTCCATTTTGTCTGCAATCTGCACCAAGACCCCCACTCTTGTCAAGCCTTCATGTTGTAGCTCAACCTGTTGTAGGCAGTGTAGAACCGCAACGGATGCTTGCTGGGGACTCTTTTAAAAGGGAACTGTAAAGAAATCGCTCAAGTCCGACCGAGGCTTGGTCCTGCAGCTGCTCTCAGCATGAAAGCCTCCTTGGAGAGACCCTTCAGCAGTGCCGCAATGGTCGCTTTGGTCTCAGTTGTGAAAGAGGAATATGTTCGGCAAAACAAAGTCCTATGCATCTCATGATATGCCGACAGCATTGTGCCTTTGAAGCCCTCTGCCACTTCCTGATTCCAGCTAAGGCCGACGCATGAGGCTTGATCCAAGCAGCGGCTTCGTGGCCAGCATGCCTGAACATGCAAAAAATGTGGGAAGCAAGAGAAATGCGTCATGGGCAGACTTTCAGCAATCTACACATACGACAAGTTTACATGCCAGGGGGCGCAGCGGTGAGCAAGTCGCAGTAAGTGTGGAACATCTTCAGGACCTTCGGAGCGCTGGTCTCCCGCTCCACTTCGATGACGGTCGTGATGCCTCATCTTGAGAAGAATAGCTATGCAGAAATTCCCCACAAATGCTGAGCTAGTCATGATAGGCCACGGTCTCGCCACGCGGACAGAATGCACGTGGATGCCGCCTTGCGTCTTACGCATCTTGAGGCAGAATTGGATTAGACTTGCTCCGATAGCAGCTTGGCAAGGGACCTTGTTGAACTGCCCCTCAAGTTCCAGCCATCGGCCAAAAAGTCGTGAGAACTCCACCGCAGCGTACGCTTGCCGAATTCCATATACCTCAGTTTGAATTTAACAGTTCCGTAGGGGCGGCTGCGGAAATTCACAAAATCTGCTCGGAGTCAGCCCAATACTTGCTCCAACCCAAACTGTACGGTCTAAGATTCATGCTCGCACACTTAGATCAATTCCAGGTTGGATGGGACGCATGTGCACCCTTCAGTCTAGCTTCTCGATGTTTCTTCTTCTGGCCATTCGTCTCATGCTCCTCACTGAGCTCCAAGGATCGCTCTGGGCTGCTCTCTACGTGGTGCAGCATACCATGACATACAATAGCGTTTAACTCCCACCTCCCACCGACAGTAGAACTGGAGCTTCAATGGCTGCTGCAGCCTCTTGTCGAGCTCTACGAAGCCATGAGCCTAGGACAGCAAGAATGCGAATCGATGGAAGCTGATCACGCAGCCTCGTTTGTCTTCTCGGGAAAACGTTCAGAATTGCAATTATTGAGATGATGGATGTGCAAGAAAACAACAGGATGGCCCTTAGCATCATCACGATGGCACCACAGACCTGATAAATGTTCAGTTGGAGCAGTGACTGTGAGCTATGTAGGACAGGGGAAAGTATAAATAATGAGATCATCCTTGAAACACGCTGACGCGAAACAGCTCATTCTGCTTTCTTGCTGACATCATCCTTCCGAATACAATCTCTCTTGCATCTTCGTCTAAGCAGGTCCAGGCATTCTGTGCTGTTGGGGTGCGGCCTGCTTGCATTTCTTTAGCCCATCATGTGCTTCTTGCCTTGGCTGCGCACCAAGTGAAGGCAGCAGTATCTCCACAAGCCCATTGCTGCTTGTGGTGATCCAGGACATCATCAAGCCCCACGCTCCAGCAAACATTAGAGTAGACGTCCCTGATCAAGCACCTGATTGGCCTACGGCCTAGTCACCAGTGTGGCTTCATCGCTTGCCTCCTCGATTCCTGAGCTGTGCTCTGAGCGTAGACTAACCACCAGTCTTTCCATTGCTTTTGGGACTGGCAAATAAGGCGATGCCGGACAAAAAGCGTCGAAAACTTTTTCAAATATGCATGGCCATGGTTCTTTGATGTGCAAGCGCCATTGCCCAACACTTTCCCAGTCCTCTTCTTCCGGATCGAAATCATAGCTCTCAAACCTATGCTCCTGCAGATCATGTCCACAAGCATCTCACAGCCTGAATTTCTGAAGTTGACACTGATGTCAACTTCAGACATTGGGAAAATACCATGTGCCCGCGCAGTCACCTTGAGTACTTTTCGGTACTTCTTCCAGATTCTGCCTTCTTCCTGCAGAACAGCACGAACTTGTGCATGTCATACCGGGTACAGTCTCTACTCCCATTGGCCAAGTAGGGTACTAGCCTGCATGCCAATCCAGAAACTTTCCAGCTGGACCGGGCATGAACGCTCAATTCCAGCATGGGTGCGTTGTGCCTAAAGGTCAGAAGTAGCAAACGAACTGGAGACGCGCCCTCCCGGCGCTCTTCCGTACTAGTTTAGAACATTGCCACAAAACGAGGCAGCAAATGCTTATGAGGCTTCCTTCATAGAACCATCATGCATTATGCCGCGACTGCGTTAGATCGAATTTGGAAAGAAGACAGGGAAAATCTCTTGTGGTCAACCACGGAATCACATATGCACTAATGGCATGCCGAAGTGTACCTCCCATCAACATCGATCCGTTCCTGGTCGGAGGTTAGGCTAGTATCATTGAAGCTGAAATACATAAGCTGGTGAAAGCTCACAGGTCCTTCTTGATTGCCAGCATCATGACCCTTCCCAGCAAGATGCCATCGGACAGCTCTTCTGTCCCGGGTGGTAGATTCAGGGCATCCTCAACGAGTTTACTTTCGAAGTCGGCCATCTTCTCCTGGCCTGACAGAGCCATGAGAAACCTGGCAAAGCCAGAACCTCCTTGGATCTGACGCCGAGCCACAGAAATCCCCGATCTCCTGGCCCTCACCGACGGTTGCAGTGATCGGACACTTTATGCCCTCCACAATCCTTGCAGCAAAGATCAGATATGAGTAGCCGTTCGTGCTAGCATGTGTCTGCAGTGCAACAGTGGGCTACATCACATCTGCCACGGTGTGCAGGCCAGCGACACGTCGGCATCTTTTATTTCTTGGTTGTCGGCGGTAAGCAGCCTCACAAAGCCACAGCCGCTGATAACGTAAGCACGTTCTTGATAACATTCTGAGTGCATGCCAGAAGTAGGTTCCTGTTTGGGGCATTCTTGGGAATGGGTTCTGGGCTCATACAGGGCACCAGCATCTTGACATGTACTTTTTCCAAGGACCTCAAGCGATGCGGCGTGATCCGCAATGCACAGCCGACTTGCTCTCGTAACTCTGCGCCGTTGCCCTCGAAGCTCTTCAAATTCGCCTCTCGCCGAGCACAAGGCATAAGCGCCACGGTCTTCTCGTTTCAAAGTCCCTGCACTTCTTAACTCGAGCTGAACTTGCATTCCGTTGATTCCTCGGCGTGAGCGGTGAACGACATGCTGCATTTTACATACAGGCTGCCTCAACCTCCCGTCCGCTGATCAGATTGACCGTGAGGTCCGCCATCGCTTACGGGGTTTACAGATGTAGGTTTCTGTGTTCTGTGTATTCTGTAGTCTGAGGGAGACACTGGCTCAGAGGTTTTGATTCAGGGGCATCTCAAGGCTTACAGTCTTGAAACCTGACTTAGAACGGAATGCTGACATTTGGCAACATTCAAGTTCTCCTGAATGAGCCACGAGTGTAGCCGCTTGAAAACCGCTCAGAAAAAATTCTACTGCTTAAGACCAAAAACTTGGACTCCTCATACCAAAGGCTTGAAGTCTTCCGGCTAGGAAGAACTGAGACATCAAGAATGCACGCATTCTAACAACAGTTGCCAACAAAGCACACCCAATGTACTTCAAACTTGTCATCATACCCAGGATCGTAGCATGGGCGAATCAGCACGAGAGCCATGCTTTCGACAACTACTGTACGCTGTCCATTCGGCCACACGAAAAAACAAAGCTCCCCACTGATCCAGGATTTGCCAGCTCGCCTGTCTGTCACATGCGTGTCCAGGGCCGTGCGGCTAGGGGGCCGAGGGCTAGCAATGGTAAACCTGGATGCTCACACATAGATTTCTGATTCCGAATACTAGTATATCCTGGTTGCAAGGTACGGCTGGGAAAGCACACAACGAAGAAGCAAATGTTTGGGGTGCAGCTAGCTTGCAGAAATCTTGCTGTTGGGAGACTGAGCAGTGCGGGCAGTAATCGAATTCACTCGCACGGCACTCTGCTTTCAGATTGACTTCAGCTAGCTCCATCATGCATGTTCGGCAGGCCGGTCTCTTTGCTCCAGACCTTCTTTTGCTTCCCGGCTCTTCCTCGGCAAAGCATCACCACAGCGTATCTCCCATCCAAGGAGCACATGGACTCTGCGCTCACATTACCAGTTTGGCTAAAGCCTCCCCCTTGCGATGTCCAATCAAGTTGTTGATGCTGCCAATACGATTCGCCATGTAGATCTTTTGAGTCCAGTCTAGTCTAACGACATATATTCCTTACCCTTGGGCGTCTACCCACCAAATCTCCTGAGCTCTCGACTCTAGACTGAAAAAGACCTGTGAGCCCAAAGCAGCTTCAGCATTGCACTGAGGCCATGGCAGGCCATCTTTTACTCCTAGAATGTAGGCGATCGCTTGGCCTGGGAAAATGGATGCTGCACCCTGTTTCAGGCAACCCTCCGGTTTCATGAAGTCCTGAGCTTCAAGGAGAAGAAAGTGCAGCGCGTGTCTTTCCAAGACCCATGGCATCTGCCAAGACTGCACCTGGGTAGACTTGAGAAATCCAAGCAGTTGACAAAGATTCTTGGCGGCTATGCGGGAGCACTATCTCAGTGAGAAGCCCATTCCGGAGCTGGCTCGGGCCATGAGCCATTTGTATCCCTCCTCCTGGTGCGGCTGCAGGGCCTTGGGGACCCATGTCCAGCCGCTTCCACAGCAGCGTAAATAACAGTGCGCTGACAGCAAACCTGTTCCCAAGGAAGTGGCCCACTGAGGCCTGATCTGCAAGCGCAACCTTGGCCAACTTGCACAGAGATATACCTAGAAAGTTGCCTGCTGCTGTTGCGCTTCGAGGGGTGGAGCCTTGGACAGAACGACTACGAGAGCATCCTTTGCCAAAGGGTGAAACTGAAAGGGCCAAGAAGCTGAGCGCCAGATCACACTTCCCCCGCAGATAGCAGACGTCACTCCCCCTGTTACTTAGGAAAAAAATGACAGGGCTTCACCACTATTTGCCCCAGCTTGCGGGACGCACCACAAGTTTCCGAGTTCCCGAGCGGCCGTAGCAGTTCTTTCAGTGCCGTGGTGATGGCTGCGTCCAGGGACCACCTCATCAAAATCAGCAAGCAAAGAAGGCTGTCAACTTTGCTGCGCTTGGGGGGCAAAGCAGTTCACAATTACACAGCAACATTTTTTTGCTGTGCATGATCCTGCAGACGTTAACCCCAAGCCCACCTTGGATGGGCTCCAGCAAATGCCAGAAGCAAATCCCCGACTGAAGCTCCGGCCTGAGGCATACATGAAATTCTAACATCTTCTAACTTCGCGCGCGCCCCCTGGTGCACTCCACACTATGTTAGCTTCATGAGGAAGTGAGGCTTAGTTGTCATGGCTCCTGGCTCATTCCAGGTTGGCAAAAGGTCTTAACAAAATCCTTCCATGCAGTAACCGAAGGAACGCTAGTGTCAAACAAAAAATTGACGTCCCGAAGTCACAAACTTTGGTACTCAAGTAACGAAACGCAAATCTGGATGAAAAGACTCATGTTGCCAGACGAATTGCAAACAGTGCGAAGCAGAAGTTACAAGCAGGACACCCCTAACTCCAACGTTGGGTTCATGCAGCGGTCGGGCAAAGATTTCTGTAGTTTACTGGATCAATTTTGGCACTCTCCAGCCAAATTACTGAAAATGTGCGGGCTGGTGCTAGGCACAACCACATGTCAGATCAGGGACATCCTGTGAACTGTAAACCTTCAGTCTGCAAGGAGAGCCCTGCGATTGCAACGCCGCCTGAAAGTCGAAGGGGTCGACGAGAAGGCGCTACCAGTCGCACGCAGTTCAACTAAGTTAAGATTGGTCCCATTTCGAAGAATTATCCGCGTTGTTTGCTAAGGCCTACAATCAGATTTGGGGAGTTCTGGTCTTGGTGGCTTTATGGCCCGTTTTGAGACGCCTGTTCATTCCATTCGACCCAAACCGCTTTCTGATCTCTACCTGTGCGTGGGTGGGGGCGTTGAACCAATGACAGTGACCGTCAGCAGGCCTTCTCTCCAGAACAGGTGAGCCCACGGAGCAGCGCCTCCATGGTCCTTGCCACATGGGATTTATGTCCCTGAGGCCAAATAAACACGCCACTTTGAGGAATCAAACAACTAGATTAAGTAAATGCTCGTGTGGAGGTCAGGAAGTGGCTCGTCATATGGCTGACACCGGTCATGCATGTGGCGGCCCTTGATATATGATGTCCTTTTTTATGCAAGGCAGACTTGCGATGTTTGGCATTGACGCGCGTAACTGCAAAGTGATTAAGCAGTTAAGATGTGACTGGGCTCGAAGCGGGCCCTGCGAAGGCCAAGTTCCAGCCCAGGTCAGAACTTGCCTGAAGAAAACGCTTCGGAAATCTGTTCTGCATCTTGAAGGCTGAGAGGCTTCAGGAGTTCTGCTTGCAGTTCATGTTCTGCGTTCAGTTGCTTCGGAGCTTTAAACCTACCCCTGAAACGATCCTGCCTTGACATGGTGGCGCGCACCACCGCGCGGTGGCAAGCAGAGGGTTCGCAGGGGATCCAGGAGGATCAAAGGAAAGCACAAGAGCCACAGGGGGGCTAGGGGAGGTATGTGGGAAATAGAACCATGAATGACCTTGAGAAATTTGGTGATTATAAGGCATGGATGGAGGCAAGGCCAGGGGAAGTTACACTGACTGGTGGAAATTGGAGGCTCCGCGTGTATGCCAAGTACATATTATCATATTATGCCAGATGATGCTCAATTTAGGGGTGCAGTGTAAAGATGTGTAAAGTGCGGTACGTAACTTTTCGGCTTCCGTAGGTTCAGAGTTGTCGTCTCTTTGCTGAGCTTTCTGAATACTTGCAAGATATTCGAGGAAAATCACTCTAACCCCGTTATATACCCTGTTATACTGTAGCGGTTTCCATTTTTTGCCTTATTCCCTATATAACCCCAACATATTATTCCCTATATAATATGCCCCCAATATAACACCTATACAATCCCTATAATCCCTGTAGTTTCCATTGTCTTTTCCATTCTTCCCTATATAACCTCAATATATATATATATGTATACCCTGTTATGTTATAATAGTTTCCATTTCCTTTTGCATTATCCCCTATGATACACATGACTCTGGGCTTGCTTTCATGGCTCTTGGCTTACGCTGAAACGCTGCAGGCACAGGCAAAAACAAAAAAAAACGAAGAGCTGTTAGTACATTATACAATCTTAGAGTATACAAGACTATACTAAATAGTAAATTGTAGTATATTGTAGTACATATAATGTCTTCAGCGGATAATTTCGGGTCTTGCAACTCAGAGCCAATTGTTCTTGAAGGCTTTAGTACAAGTTTTGACACCTAGATGAGGGGCACGCAACAGTGTTTGTATATCTGTGCCCTTCGTGCTTTCTAGGGGTTATATACAACCCTAGATAACTTGTATATAATCTCTACATAATCCCTATAGAGTCGCATGTGATGTGATCCATGTATCATCCTTATACAGAGATCTCTCTGCTATGTCTGAGTCTCCAAGCAGCACGGCTAAGCTGACATCTCTTCAAGCGGTGTTCGCTGGGGTGTTTTTCTACGTGTAAATTCCAATAGGCCTTGGCGTGTGGGGTTTCCCACAAGGAGGAGCGCCCCTCATTTACTCCAATAGACGAATCCTACGACCACCCTCTAATTCCGACCCCGCCCGCACTTTGGAAACCCTCACGTGGCTTTTCTGTGGCATTTAATGCAAGCTAGATGAAGGCTCCCGCAGCCTGCGTGATACTGTGGATGGAGGAAATCTTGCACCACTTGGAACCCCCAAAATGAGGTGGTGAAAGGTTTCCTCCATCCGTAGGACCTCACCTACACCAATCGACCTGCATCAGCTTTACTCCGCAAAGGCCCAGATCCTGTAAAGTTTCCAAAAGATGGAACTCCTCATCACAAAGTGACCACCTTATTACACTGAAGAAACTAGGGGATGTATCCTTAATCGGGGGGATCTGCGGGGGAGCTAGTCCTGATGTTGCTCAGCATGCTGCAGCGCTAGATAAACTTCGAGAGCACGCAGTATATCTTATACCCAACGTAACGAAAGTGAAACGCCACAGCTCACAGGGCGGCTTCAGATGACCCCACATGCCAGCAGACAAATACGTCTCTTCTGAGATTTAAGACCCCTCCCAGCAAGCCCACAAAACATCCAATTCACCACTCATGTTTTCTCCGCAGCGCTCCGCGGCGCTCCTCTTCGTTGTGCATTTGTCTTGTGCGGCACAAGGCTCAGTTGCCTCCCGAATGAGGGTTGTTGTGAAGGGAGCATAGAAGCATCCTGGCCCAACATAGCTATGTTAGGGCGTAAAGCCTCGGCGATTGGAGTCTGGCTCACGGCGTTCTCCAGGTTACTTGTGTAGGCTCTAGTAGCTTTTTGTTCAGCCTTCTAGGGCTTATGCAGGGTCTTTAAAGCCCTCACTTCACTGCATAGGTCACTCTTCTACAGGTGGGCAGAGCAGTCGGGCAGATATAACAGGAATATTATATCTGCAGTGAACGAGAAAATTCCCCAACATCGTCCCATAGATGAAACCCTTGCACGCTCGCACAGGTCTGTATATCAACGCAGGCCAAAAAAGCAACATCATGCCTCCCAGCCCGGTCTGGCCTTCGCGACTGGACTGCAAACCGTCGTTTTGGCTGGGAGGGGGCCTCCCGGGCACACAAATGCTGGCCGAGTCTTCACGACACATACAACCCTACCACACGGACACTTTTTGAGGATCCCGTGCACCAGATTGCGCGACATCTTGAACGGATGCCTTTGGCATCCAGGTTGGAGTGTCCAAAATTGAGTGCCTCCTGCCCCGTTTTGTAAAACTTCCTTCTGAGTCCTCTAGCTTGTCAATTGCACCCAATTTTGTCAAACTTCTATGTCCTGGCGGATGCGTGAGCTTCGGCTGCCGTCCCCAATGCCGAACAATAGCTGGCGTCAAGAGTTGGACAGTACTGACTTCGATCAGACAACAGTGAAATCCGAGTAGCCATCAATGCATCTGCGACATACCACAAACGCATAAGTGAAGGAGGCCAGAGCGAGCGATGCAAAAAAACAATCAGATACAAGTATCTAAATCGAGTTAGTAGCGGTAACGGGTACCATGATGGCCTGGCATCAAAACTGGCATGCGCATTTGCGCAGATCAACGTGGCATGACACTAACAACATAGTGATGACAATAGTTGAAATCTGGCCAGCCAGGTGAACTTACGAATGAACGCACCAGCATCAGTACTGTGGATTATGACGCCGCCCAACAGATCTGGTGCTGCAAGTGGCAGCCTTCTCCCTTCAGAACACATGGTAGTTTCCCTATTTAGGGCGGACCCCAATACAGAGCACAGAATACTATAATCCCAATTGCAGGGACCCCGAAGTGGTACCCTAATTTTCCGAAAGCCCCATATGGCCACGGACAGCCGCCGGCTTCTTCGAAAAAGACCCGGCTGGAAACCGTTGAGCTCTTGCCGGTTACCAGAAGCCCCGGAAGGGTTGTAGGGAAAGGCCAGGTTGACTGAGTAATGGAGATATGACTGAGCTAAAGAAGGATATGATGCGTACCATGTAGATATTTCTATTATCTTTCCATGTACTTCGTGGCACTCCTCCCGTTCACCCGTAGGGCTCCCCCATGAGAGCAGCGAAGCCTCTATTTCGAATGCCTCAAAAGGTCTTGTAGACCGTATTTACAGCCCCTCTCTCTGGTGAAACCACGGAACATATATACAAGTTCGAGAAGGAATGTCTAGAAAAACGATTGAAAACACCGCTTCGGCGTAAGAGACAGAAGGAGAAGAAGACTTACAACCAGAACCGTAATCTGCATTCACGTGAGAAACATCCCGCCATGTTATAACAATTGAAAACACAGTAGTCGCCACGGTGATAACTGTGGTGGTCGCCGCATGAATCAGATTGCACCATCAAGCTGCTTCTCAGCAGCCAGCTCTTGTTCTTTGTCTACTGCCTGTGGCTGTGGGGTGTCAGCTAGAAGAGCGCCGAGGACGTCAATGTTGGCACGCTGGAGCTGCAGCATCACACTGGCCAGCTTCGAAGCCTCACAGGCAAAGGCCCAAAGACCAGATGATGAAGCCTTCAGCTGTTGCCTTTGAGCCTAAGAAACCCACCTTAGGCCACGCATTCACAAAACCCAAGCCCACAGGCCTTCTTGTTGGGAGTCTTGCTGGCGGACTCCCGTGAATAGGCCTCTCTCGGTACCATCATGATGCATTTGCTGCAGACAGCGTGCGTCGCAATTTTCCAAGAAAATTTGCGTAAATACGCGTTGTCACAATTTTTTGGGTGGGGAAGCAGGGTCGTGAACCAGGGCAAATAGTTGCGCACTCGCTCGTCTGCAAGCCTTGCTGACAGCGTCAGACTCATGCCTTTCTGGGTCCACACAGGTCAACTTAGGTTACAACCAGCATCGTAGAATTGAAGCCATTCAGCGGCTTGAACCCAAGGAATTTGCGAAGTTCAGCGCTTTTCGAGTTCAAAAATATCCGTAAAGGCAAGATGTCCTTACTAAAGCCAGGTGCAGCTAGAGGCTAGAGTCTACAAGACCTACAGGGCTGGCACGCTCAGTGTCAGAAGTGCTCCAAGATGACTGCTGTTTTATTCGGTACTTCGCGTAACCCTGATGCTCGGAATATGCGATTTATACATACCAATGCATTCCTTGAAGCCTAGCAAACTCTCAAATCAAAAAGAATTCTTTGGGCTTCAGCTGAATCGTCCAACTTGGCTACGTGCCAAAACCTGAGAATCGCACACTACACAGCGCCGCTCCCGATTGTTTGCCCGCTGAAGCCACAGCGCCAACAAAAATGAGCTTATCTGGCATATAAGCGGCCTGCACGGCTTCCAGCGTCGCGCTCAGCAGCTTGCTGTGTTCGGCCAGCATGGCCTGCAGCCCAGAACCTGGCACAGCCCCACGCAGGCATGAGGAGGGAGGTCGGAGAAGGCGCGCCAGAAGCCCATGCAAGCAAATAATTTGAAAGTCCCCAGCCAAGTTAATCAAGACTTTCTCGGCCTGTCTCCTTGTCTGTGTCGAACACGTTTGCTGCTACATCATCTTGGGCAACATTGTAACCAGCGCATTCACTGTTGGGGCTCCTTAGCAAGGCACCGTGGTCCGGACTGGATTCTGGCCATTTGGGTTCAGGCCAGTGCTACCAAAACAGTGTGTGGTGGCTGAACAACCATCGTCATGCTGCATTACTCTTGGTGGGAGATTCTTTAATGTGCATGAACTTCTTACGGCGTCGAAAAACTTAACCGCATGTGTTTGATGTATAGGGGTTCTTCACCACTCCAAAAGATGACCGTTCCAGAGGCCCGCAAAAGAATCTTAACCTGTTCTCAGCCTCTGCAAGAATTAGTGCGAGCAGAATTGGGCCCTGTCATCATGCATCATTAAGTGACCCGACACTGTCGATGGCAAGAGCGTTTGACTTTGGATACTTCTGCGTTCCCAAAAAGCTCAGGTCTGAGTCACGTAGCTCCGACCTCATGACGCATGACCCGAGCTAGGATTATGAAAGATGCCCCGGATTTCTGCTGCCACCCTGTACTCACCATCTGCCAGCATGTCTCCCCACTTTGGCTTCCACTGCACCCTCCGAAGCTCTGCTCTCCACATTGTCTTGGGTGCTCCTCGTGCAGCATCTCATGTCTTCGTGCAAATCAGGACTCTTTAGGGATAAAGCGGGGTAATCTAGAATGATTTCAATTCCCAATTTAAGGTCATTTGGGTGCTACTCCCTATATAAATGACCATTCAGGGTGAGATCGGCTGAGGTCGGGCAACTCAAGACATGTCCAAGCCATGAAAGATGGCGTCCAGATCTCTTCGGCATCCAGCTCTTCCTCCCATTCTGGTATTGCATCCTGCAGGGCGTGCAAGTACTGACCAGCAATTCCAAGCACAGATCTGCAGCCTAAAGATGGGACAATTACAGACAAAGGCGATGCCGCCGCGGCTTTACACCACCACCACCAAACCACCCCTGGAACCGACAAGGCAACCACCACACCAACAACACTCACAACCACCACAACCGACAGAAAGGAATCACGACAAGTACCGTTCAGGTCTGCACGGTCTGGCAAGCAGCATAGCCCACTCTCAAGCCCAGGCAACCTGCTGGAAGGTCACCGACTGGATGGTGTCCAAGTCTCGTGAAGTTCGCCTGTCAACCCCACACATCCATGCAGGGCCTTTCAATCACTCCTTGCAGGTCCTCTGTGTACTCTTTGCTGACATACCCCTCAGCTCAACAATCGGACCCTGTTCCAGGGTCACTCTTGAAAGGCTATGAATCAGACTCTGAACCTACGTGTGACCGGATCTCCTGTGCTCTATACTAGGACTAGGACAAAGCTGCATCACTCCTCTAGAACCCCACAAGCCCTGACGACGCCTCGAATCCAAGAAGAAGGCACCGAACTGAATGACAACAGAATTCTTTGCTGATACATGCCCATTCTTACATCAGGATGGCATCCAACACTGAATCCATTACTGTACAGACTCTTCGCACTTCGCACAAGATGCCATACACTCGCTGCAAAACCATAACATGAGCTCAGCGCAGAACCGTCAGCAAATGCTCAGAGAATTGTCCCCATCCTTGACGCTCATGCTACCAAAAGAGATAGAACTCCAATTCCAAATGAGTTGCGATGGGGCTTGAATGCAGTACTGGCTCTATATGCCCTGGAACCCAAATCAGCCGCATATCATATAAAGTAACTTTATCATGGGAAGCCAGCCCGACCATGTACCACGTGCGCTGCAACCATGTAAATGCGGTGTGCCACCTTCCAGTTCATACATGCTCGCAGTTAGCGGGGCGTAATCCAACCATTGTAAAGGGGCCCGATAGAAATGACCGGAATGTCTCAGGAACACCCATCAGTGAAAGCCCTGAGCCCCTTCCTTGAGCCAGAACAATCTTGACCTGCGCACTGTGCATTCCTGAAACAAGGTAGGATTCCAGGCTTCTCCAAAACACGTCTCTTTGAGATAATTCCATGCAGCCGTAGGCTGGATCCTATGGGATATGGCAATGGCTCTTGTGAGACAAAAACATACCACGCTGCGCAGTTCAATCTGGAAAGCATTCTTGGGGTTGCAGTAGTGCATGCACACGCCAATCTACCATAACCTTTCCAAGGCCTTAAAGGTCCTAAAGCCAAGGCCTGGAGGTGGTCTCCGGACTCGCAGGCGAGGAGGACTTGGGAAGATGGTCCGTGAGCTTCTTCAGCGATGACTCCACGCTATCCTTGAAGAGTACAACACGAAGATGTTGCGCGTGAGACAAGCCACTTAGCTCCATGCAGACTGCTTGAACAAACGCTGCAAAGAGTCCATCTTGAATTCGTAGTGCTCGATTGTCTTAGACAAGCTGTCGACCTTGACTTCGGTTTGGTCAACTTTGCCGCAGGTCTTGGAAACCTGGTAGTGGAGCCTGGGATGCGGCAGGAAGTTAGACTCCAAATGGGCCGCGGTGTCTTGGGCGCATTAAGCCACCTAAAACTTGAAATCCTCCAAAAGATGGCTGAGAAGCTCCATGATGGACATGGGCCGGATCTGGTCGCAGAGCCCCACCACGCCCTGGATGAACTCCGATCGCTCAATGATGCCTGCGCAACTGCAATACCAAATGAGGACTGCAGGTACTGCTGTCCTATCTACAGAGTCGATTGCATGGCGGCCTTGCGCATGACAAACTTTCAGCTTAAACCAGGCACGAACGATGGCATCTAGAGAAAGCGTTTTTTAAACAGGCTGCTGTGGATACTGAACTGCTGGTGCCATATGGGCAGACTGGGAAGATCCAGTAGACGGCTCTTGCTCCAAGGCCTACTCTGCTTGCAGAAGGTCTTCTCTATGATTTGTGGGGTCTTCTGTTACAGTGTACAGCAGGAAATCTGCTCTAGTCTTAGAACACGTGGCTCTCTTAAGCTGGACCCGCGCCTGTGTCACTGTAGTCCATGACATAGAACCTGGACGGCAGAGGGACAACTTTGAAACGCATGATCATGCCTGAGGCCATGGGTCCGATGGTGCGGACCTGCTGCGATCCGACAGGTTCAGGGGAGACGGAAAGATCATGACAAGTGCCAAGGAACATTTGGTCAAGATCTGGTCGCTGGAAATTCACCCCATAGCTCTCCAAGAGCTCAGCAATCTGGTCTGTGCATTGCTTGAGCTCATCTCGAGGAAGTACGCGATTTCTGTTCCTGACACTCAACATAAAGCAATATGAAGCAACTGCGGTGCAACGTGCTCAAAAGCTTCAGGCCACAAATAGGGTCCAGGGATTCAAAGGCTTGCTGCAAGCATCTTAGAACCTTAAAGACCAACTACGCAGCATCAGGAGGGTAGATAATGATGCTGAGGATGAAAGGCTTGGGGTCCAAGATTCGCATCCAGTTCATCAAAGAGCTCTCCGCATCGCTGCTGCATGGTCTTCCGCTTCGCCTCGCGGTCCATGCGATCTGCTTCGATGCGCGCTTGGTTCTTCTCCTGCGAGCCACCACTCACTTGACTCACCCATATATATATATATACCCTATTATTTATGGTAGGTTCCATGTTCTTTTCCACTATCCCTATGGCCCCTATATTCCTTCCCTGTTTCGGGAAGGCAGGAGGGCAGGGCTGCTGTGGAGAACAAAGTAAGCTCACCCAGGGTTTGCAATAGCATCTCTTACTGCCGGCCCAGGTCCAGAATGCTCTCATTGATGAGGGCCACCAGGAGTCCGTTAATGCCAAAGCTGCCCAGAATGATGAAAACAACCAGGAAGATGATGAGGGGCGGGTTTGCGAACATGGCTTCCTTATTCAAAACAGACACACTCTTGCGCCCTGCTTTGCTCCTCTTTCAGTATGCCACGTCCGCGCAGCAAGTCCACGGCTTAAAAACCAGCATGAATCCAGCCTTTCTCAAATGGTTTCCCTACTTTAGTCTGGTCACCTCACTTGGGACCGTGGAGAAAGGGCCTTGTCAATCAGTGTCGGCTGAACGATTTCCTCGTTACATGTCACCCTGGTGAATATATTCATTCTGATCTCAGAAGGTCTTGACCAAAATCGTTGCTGCTCATGCATCTGTTTTTGCAGTTAGCCTGACTGAGATCGCCTGTTTTTCCTGCTCCTTCATGTCATAAGAACATAGAAGACCTACTCTCTGGCGAAGCAGCTTTAGGCTCTCAGACCATACCATTTCTCGCAGCAGTTCAGGCGCTCCCAAATCCACTTACATAAAATGTGGAAAATCTGGACACATGCAAGGAGCGAAACCCTGCTCCTCAGCCCCCTTCGCTGAAAACTACTAGGGCCACTAGCATTGCTTGCGTCTCAGAGGGCTCGGCAGGCGCGAAACATGTCTTGCATACCGTCGCACTGCGCGCGACAAAATCCCCAGTGCCAGCAAGCAACGCGATAAGGCTGCAAGTCTGGCGCTGTGATGAGCTCGAACAATGCGAACATGGTCATCGGTATGCTGCCTTGGCATGTGCAAACTTTTGATGCGGTCCTCATTGCTAATCTGTTGCACCATGGAAAACTGATGAACGATGATGAAACCTCATGTTGGCGGGTGGGGGTAGCACCAAGGCGTAAAGCATCTCTGTGAATGCCCTGGGGGTAGTAAGTGCAAGGGGAAGAGGCAAGAAGCCCAGCCGAGCGTCCGAAGTGGGCCTGGAAGAACTCGTGGAAAGGATCATCTTCAGTGGTGTTCCGACCGTAGGCTCGGACAAGAATGACTGCACAAATGTACAGCATGAAGGAGGCCAGGATGGTCACCTCAAGCTCAGGTTCCGAGCAAACGCGCATGCTGCCTTGCTGCCTTGGTGCAATGAGTCACTTGCAGTGGGCGCTCAGAGAATTCTGAAGCTTTCCCCCTGAAGTGTTGCTGTTGATGACGACGCTGATAAGGATGATGATATGTCTGGTGCTTGCGACAGTGGCTCTTGGAGCTGCCGTTTTCGTTCTGTGCGGAGGCCGGTGGCACTGTGCAAGTGTTGGTGGCACTGAGGCGTTGAAACTCCTCCTTGGAGCCGTCTTCAAGCAAGCATTACTTGGCTGGGGCAGCCACCCACAAGACGGCCATGGTGCCCTCTATGAAGCCATAGGCCAGCAGATAGAGCTGTTTTAGGAAGCGCACAATGCCTCAGCGCGTAAGATGGTGAGCGGTGTGTGGGAGGCAGTAGCACAACAGATTGCACAATCAGGGACGCAGCCCTCTTTCCACTCTGCCAGGGAAAGGAATGCGGAAGGCTTCACACGTGCCATCTTGCCTCTTCAGCAGCACGCCCGTCAGCGCCACAGCACTTGACACAAGCGAACATGTCATACACATTTTGTGCTGGCAAACGGCAGGTGCGGGCGCTCCAACCTCAAGCCTGAAACTAGCGAAACTTTTGGAGGGACTGCTTTGCAGTCTCCGAAACAGAAACCCAATAGGAAACGAAAATGGAACATATCCAACTAGACCCACATTGATGCAGGCGGCTCGTGAGCCTTGGAAGATGGAGCAGCCAACAGGTCAGTCTGCGAAGTCTGTGTCTCACACTCCTCAAGGTCATTATCATTTTCCGGCAGCATCTCAATCTCAGACAACTTCTTCCTCACGGGTTCTCTGAAGAAAGAAGATTTTCTCTGAGAACTAGCACTGAAGGAATGAGAACGAATCCGTGGGATCCTGCCGCTGACGACGCCGTCCTCATTCAGGCTCAGGACTTCGAAGGACAGAAGGGAAACGCTGGCAATCAATATGTTCAAGTCACTGACATTCATCCCCGAAAGGGCGATCTCCATCTCCTTCAGCTCCATATTCGCCAGCTTTTCAGCCAAACTTTGAAGCTGTGTGGACAGAGTGGCAGATGACGGCACCTTCTGCAAATTGAATATCGCAAATTCCTTTTGTCCACCCAGAGCCACACGGTAGACCACAGCTGAGCAGGTCATTCCTACCATCAGTAACATGATTACGCCCAACACACTCATGAACATGGTGGTGAGGAAGTCTGAAAATTCTTTCATCAGTCCCTGGACTGCTTGCAAGTGCAGCGCAGAAGAAACCACCAGCATTGTAATACAGAACGACAGGATGCAATCACACAGGTTGAGGAGCGGCACCTTCCACGGCCACGTGCGAGCTTCAACCGTCAGGAATGTCATCAGTACCACAATGCAGAAGCAGACCTGCACAGGTGCATGATCTGTCGCAAGGACAATGGGCAGCGAAAGTAGGGGACCTCGCAGCAGCAGAGGTACACCGAACCACCAGCTGTCCAAGCGGAAGCGGAAAACAAGAAAGCGAAAAGATCGGACACGACTATTCCAAGCTTTCAAGCTCCATTTGGGAAGCATAATTGCAGCCCATGTGCAAATGCAAAGGAATCCAACGACTCCCACCAAGAGCAACGTCGTACCCACTGCCAACATCAGGCCGTGGTCCTCTGAACCGCACGTGATTCCAGGGTACTTGAGAATGCTGTGGACACCGTTCGGGTGACTGAAGCAAGCGAAAGGCGCCAGAGCAAGGCTGCTCATTGTGCTAAAGCTGACCTGCATAATTTGGCCAATCATGCTCTTGGTCTTGCTGGGCTCCCAGTGAAATCGTCTTGGAAAAAACCAGCTGAGTCGTGCAAAAGCACACAGCCACAAAACCAGCACTGGGAAAAAAGCTGCTGTTGCCACGTAACGCACTGAAGCTGCTTCACCAGCAACACAAGAGAAGGCAAACTTGTCAATGTCCAGGACGAAGACCTGCAGAAAGTCGAAGACTCCCTTCACGGATAACGGAAAAGGAACTGTCATCATTCCGACAATGCCTTAGATTGCGCTTGTAGCTTAGGGCTTCTCCACGGCTTGAAGTATACTAGAAGTTATTGTCCTTATAATGTCCACATAACAGAAGGCTTACCCTCTCCACAGCTAAGATGCCGATATTTTGCAGCGTGGAAATAGTCATACCGCCTGCACAAGTTGTGGCGAAGAGCACAGATGCCTTGGCTGTTGTCTGCCATGTAAGCAAGTAGTAAACCGATGGCAGGCCAACGACGACAAAGAGGAACACAAAGATCCAGCCCAAGACCTGGAGGTTCGAGCAATCCTCGCAGCTGTCTGAACCCCAGTTCTGGCGACTTGGGCAGTCCGTACACGCCACACTTGTGGAGCCTCCACCACAACTTCCCGGTCTGCCCCCAGGGCACCTTCCGGATTCTAAGCACCGGTAGATATCCAACGGCTGTGCCACAGGACTGAAGAAGTTTTCACGCACATAGGGCACGTAGTCCTTCAGATCCTCGTTTTTCCCACTGAGGAGGCTGCTCAGCGAGGACATGGGCGGGCATTCCAGGCCCTCACCACAAGCCACGCAACTCAAGTTCCCCTGCTGTTCAGCAATGTACCCAGCTGCACAGCCGCAATCCGACTGCGAAACTGAACCCAAGCCCAGTGTAACGCTGCCAGCCGGACACAGGCTGCATAGAGCAGAGCCTTTTCGATCTTGGTACGATCCGATGCCACAGCGGTCGCAGCTCTCCTGGCCAGAGAAATTCTGATAGGAACCCATCTCGCAAGGCTCGCAGAAGAGAGCGAGAAACTCAGGCTGAGCCGTTCCTGGGTCGCAGGGACGACATGCAAAGGTGGAGCCTTTAATGTCGTCGAATGGCTTTGAATACCTGCCAGATGTGCAGGGACGGCACTCCAAGTAGGTTGGGTCCTCCCTGTTCTGAACGAAGTCAAGCCTGTTGATGTCGTAGAGTCCGTACCCTGGGAAACACTTGGTCCTATCTGGTAGCCAGGACTCCCAAGCTAATGGCTTCGACTTCAACCAGCGACAGGCCGCTTCCAAATGAGAGCCGTTCGTCAAGACATCCATCATCATAATGTTCACATCCTCAACCTGGAAACGAATGTTTCGGACCAAATCTTCAACATTTGGGGCGAGCGCGGACAGGTCTTGACTGATAAGCTTGTCGATAGGGGCATCCTTCACGGAAGATCGCTTGTCTCCAACATTCCAAGCATTGAAGTCGTACTCCGGGAACGAAATCTTGATGGGGTCTAAGTCGAGAAAGGTCGGATCAGGCGTCCACCAATAAAAAGCACTAGTCACTTCTCGAGGCAACTGACTGTACTCTTTGGCGACTCCTATGGCCAGAGGCATGTTGAAGGAGGTTGCCTTCTGCATAACCTCGTTCAACATCCATCCAGCACCTCACTTCTCAAAGGCCCGAGCTTGCAAAACACATGGTGAGAACAACTCCAAATCTAAAAACAGGCTGAACGTTGGAGAAGCGAGGCACCTCCAGTGAGATAAGGCACACACTGCGAGGGGGTGCTTCTGCAGGCGGGAGCAAGCCAAAAGTAGTCATCCGGGCAAAGCCTGGGTCGCTTTTGAGGGAATTTAAAGATTACTGGGCAAGTAAGGTTTCCTAACTGCAGCAACTTAAGTTCCTCAACAGCAACCCAGAAGCGCAACAGTGCGATTCTCAGAGATTCTTTCAACTCCCTGCTCGTCACCCGTGATCTTAAGGTAGAGCTTGTTCGGGTAGTCCAAGAAGAATCGGGTCTCATTGCATCGATAAACACTGCCTCTTTTGATGCTAGTAATGTTGTCGAAGAACAGCCATGGCTGACTCCACGACGTGTCCCAGCCGCGGTAGAAATCGAGCATCGCTCCTTAACTTGCTCTGGCACACCTGTCTGAAACAAAGCGGGTTTTCAGATTTTCTGATGAGCATTGATGAGCATGTTAGCAGAAAACTGGATTGTGTTGTCCCAGATTCCGGTTTGCTGGAATGCTCTTCTCTGCACATCCTTGGCTATGAAGACAGATGTTTGTCCGCCGTAGCCCATGCTGCCAGCGTTGATGGGGGCCATTGCTGGAAACTGTGACTGTATCTCATCCCACTCGGCTGCGTAGGCTTCAGCCCAAGTCTCCATGTTGATATGATTGTAGGTTGTTGTGGGCCCGCACCCGCGGTCATCGAGATCCCTGGGGTTCGAGCAGCCCATCAAGGCATAAAAGGCATTCAGGCTGCCAGGACCTGGCCCGGTTTCGTTAACATTGTAGCCCAGCCGCTCCTCTATAAGGATGTGGACCACAGCACTCGTAACATAGGCAGCTGCCCAATCATTGACCCAAAGGCCAAGCGGGTATGATTCGTCGTTGGCCTGTCGAAGGTTGCGCCTCTGACTCACCGGAATTCCGTCTGGAAAACAAGTTGGCACTGCAACCCTGGTGAGGGTGACCACCACTAACAGGGCAAGTCTGAACGGACTGCCAGAGAAGAGCGCCATTCCACAGGTTGCTGATGCGCTGTGGCCAAAATGGCTTGCGGAGGCTGCAAGGCTTGACAAGATCACACGCTCTCTGTCCCTAAAGCAGACATGAGCCTGTGCAGGTGAAGGCGCCGCTGCAAACTCCGAATCCGATGGGCTATCTTGAGCTCTTGTCGTCTCACAGTGCAGTCAAGCCGCGGATGATTCGCAACACGCGCAATATTCTCAATAAGCGGATGATGCGAAAAAGAGTCGCATTCCTGGAAGCAATCGACTGAGAACGTTGTCACCCGATATGAATGCCAGTCTCTTTCCAACAGCCATGTAAAATCACATGTCGCTTTTGGTTTTGAAGGACCCAGTTCTTGATGCGACAAAGCAAAGTGATTAGCACGGAAGAGATGCAGCGGCAGCTTAGCTGTAGCTTGGGCACTAGTTGCAGTGAAAAGCGCTTAACATCTTCCGTTTGTCATGAACAAAGGGATCTAGTAAAGCCGGTACTGTCCGTCAATGCCATGTCACGCGGTGCAACAACAACTTTCAGACTGAGACAAATTCCGCGAGTCTGAGTTGTGGCTACACTTAAATGGAACCGCTCAATTTTCTTTGCACCCGCCAGGAACTCTTTCGAGAACAGCATGGCCCTAGTCAAGCTGCTTCTTGCTGCCATTGTTTAGATCCTTGTTAGTCCAGGTATCCTTCCTTTACAGTGAGCCACAGTGCAGATGAGGCGCCTGGCCAATATGTCAGTAGAACCTGCAACGAAGTGCAAGCCCAGGCTCAAGACCTCCAAGCGTTGCACGTCTTCTTACGTGTGCAACACCGCATTTGGCTCTATTCCTACACAAGGCTGGAGTTGGGCCGTTTCGGTGTTGTCCTTTTCGTTTTTGTCTTGGTGTTCGCAAACGTTCCCGCCCCAAGACATGATGTGAGGATCTTGCAAACGTGGAGAAGCTACCTGGTCTGCCGTTGGCCACTCACATGATACCATGTGAGACGCGGCTTTTGTTTATTACCTAGGCCGCATGCGGCGTTGTCAATCCACGGCCCCTCATCTCGCTCGCCTCATATTTAATCTTGTATTGTACCATGACAAAATCACCTGATCTCGTTCGCCATGTTGGAACATATGCTGGGCTCTCAGTGCAAAAGAAACTGTGGCCTATCTCGTTCAATCCACGGCCCCTATCTAGTTCCCAGAGGAAGGCTGAACCCAGGTACAACAATACCAACGCGCCCTGCCTTCTACTTTCTTACGCAAAAAATGCGGCTGCTCATGTGGGCTGCAGCGGATGCATACCGAGGCACCCCCATGGAGACCAACATGAAATCAAAAAGGTTCCATGCAATGTCGGGGTTGTTGCGACAGTTGAAGAACTTGTACACTCCCAGGCAGTAGATTCGAATCGCCTGCTTTTCACCATGTTGCAAGGACATGAAACACGTCTGAAGTCCCATTCGACTAGTCAGCGAACCATCAAAGCTTGCTACCAATGCTGTGCATATCAAAGGCTCTAGTTCCATGGTGAAGAGCACGAGGAAAATGTTTTCTACAATATCCCAGGAAAATTTGTCTGGGAAGTCGGTCTCCAGGCCAATAATGATGGCGTTCATCATGATCAGACCTCAGGCAACCCGGTACTCATCTGCTTCAAGAGTTTCCAACCCTGCTCTCATACCGATTCCGGTGGGCCCTTGTCCAAGATCTGATTCTTCTTTCTTTTGAGCAAAGCCCGCAGAAACTTCTAGCTCCAAGAGCAAGGGCTTATTTGGGTACTCCTCAAAGGGTTGATACTGCAGTTGGCTATTCTACTGCGATTGATTATCAAGACTTGATGCAACTCAATGCTGCTGTGGATCAAATGGTTGCACCTTGCATGGGAGGGCTGTCCAGAAAGTCCTGCAGCCGGTGGAAGTTTGCAGCAAATGCAAGCGTGCAGGAGGCCTTGAATTCAAGCTAATCCGACTAAAATACTCCCGCTTTGGGCTTTGGTGGCTGACATGGTGACGAGCTCCGTAGATCTGTCCTGGTCCAGCATATCCCAGCCCCACTGTTTCTCGACAGCCTCGTCTCTGCTGCCAATGGATGTCATTCGACGAGGAATGTCCTGCAGGGCACATATGCAGGTGTCGAGGTTGGAATTTGACGTGTTTCTCAATGAGGGCAGGAAATGCAAACAAAATTCTTGCACTCAGACACCTGCGGCAGCGGTCTTGCCCTCTAATGAAGACTCCAGTCGTCTACAGCTTCACGTCTTGAACTGCCTTGAACCTGGAATCTGGACTCGCACTTCTCTGAGGGCGCACATGTTTGCAAGTTCCTCAACAGTGGGCTATGAGAATATCAGCTTTGCTTGAAGTCTGCGGCTCAACCACTGCATAGGTGCGCCGCATAGCTTGCAGCTGTTTGCTGGAAGCATTACAAAGGCTCTACCCGACTCCGAAATGGCAACAAGCTTGCTGCTGAAGCCTGCAGCCAAAAAGCCCTCCTCTTCACTTGCCAAGTGTAGCGCATCATCTAAGAACGTCATCCCCCAACTCTGCCAATTGTCAAATCCTGCAGCCGACCCAAGCCCTGAACCGCCCATAACGCTCCTGTCGCTGAGAGTCCGCTACGCTGATCGCCCGCAGTCCTTGGGAACCGTGGTGCAACCCTCAACCAACCCCAAGCCATCAAGCCCGGCACTTACGATGAACTGTAGTGGCTGCAGAGGTCACATGGTGCATGGCAATGGTGCCAGGATGATGAGTAGAGCTTAGAACCGCCATCACGTGACACTTAAGGCAGAACCCTTTGTGAGGTGTTCGAGACAAGGCTCGAGACTCGGCGATGCTGGCCGCCCGGTGAGGTGGCGAGTCTTGGTCGTTGGTGGGCAGCAAGGCATAAGAGCCTGAGCCTGGGACCAGCCATCTACAAACAGCTCTCCAAACAGCTCTCACCTCTGAAGCGAAATGCACTGATGTTTTTTCAGTGCTTTTCTAAAACTGCTTCCATCAGACTTGCGAAGCAGTTGTCTGCGCAGTCTGCCCTGTGTGGAACTTAGCGCAACGAGGAGCCTTACCCAGGCATTGGACACCAAGAAATTCTAAAACAAGTTGATCGACCGCGCTGTCTTGCGGGTTTGAAAGGCTTGGACATGTGCCCGTCCTTTTCGACCTGTAGTGACCGTCCGAAACAATGTCTAAATTCCGCACAGCACCGCAACTGCCATCGCAGCGTCAGCCTGAAGCCTCAAAGAACCTCATTGCCTCTCGCACCAAGCAAGCGGCGCATAGACATGATGTCGCTCTTCGAGCCCACCATGCCGTATTCTGTGAGCTCACGGTGGCGCCATCTTGCAGTTGGTCCGAAGGCGGTTTTTTGTTTTTGTAATGGATGAAGCGTTGGCTCAGGTGGCTGTTACGTTCTGTTTCCTGTGTCTTGTTCCATCTGAACGAAAAACGCAGGTGACTCTGAGCCAGTTGGATTCGTCCAAAACCTAATTCAAAGTCCTGCGGCCGCAGCAAGACAAAAAGGCCCGCAAGGCAGCCGGGTAAGCCTTTGCACCGTCAATCACCTTTAATACCCCGTAGTCATTGCTGGATAGAGCCCCCAAAAGGATCCTAGATTTCTGGAAATACCCGCATGCCAAACATCGCAGCTGAATGACACTGTGCTGTGTCGAGCCGAGTTCATGCCTGAACTTGCTGACGGTCAGCAGTGAGTGGCTGCATAGCATTTAGGGTTCAACCCGCACATTTCAAAGAGGTTCTTATCGCTGCACAGCCACGGGCTGTGCAAGGCAATGACAAGATTAAGGGCTAGTGGGAAGCAAGCATTTTGAGATATGGGGGCAGGGCATATACGAACTACTATAGGCGACACAATATTCCTGTATTCTCCACTAATGTTCGACAGTAGTCACCCGAAAGCTTTTCAGACCGTTACACAGGTATCCTGGTGATGCTACGTGCTCTGCATAGCAATGACGGCAATGGCTTTTGACAACCTTCGCGGTACAGTAGCCAGAAGAATGAGGGGTTGTTCAGGACAAATTGAGCTATCTGAAGCCGGATGCACTTCACAGGTCTTGGTGAAGCGACGCTCTCTCTTCAAAACTCCTTGCCTGCGCTTGCCCTTGTTGCGCCGGCTCTGTGCCCATCATGACCTGCCAGAGCTAGCCAACGAAGTGACAGCTTGAAAGTCACAGCGTTAGAGTAGCATTGCACAAGTGTGAGCTCTAAGCTGCCTTGCAGTCACACATGGTGGCTACAGCTGACGCGGACACAGTCACCTGGAGGACAATTCAGCTCCAGGTCCGTTCCTTTGAGTTCTACAAGTGTTTCCGGCTCAGTTTCCTGCTTCTCAACTTTCATACAGCCTCAGAAAAAGACCATCTGTCTGAGTTGATGGCGGCCCGGACTGCCGCTAACCAGAGCCGCGGGAGCCCATGCGCTGCTACTACCAAAAAAGGCTGATGAAATTGGGGCGCGATGCAAAGGCTTTTCACATAAGTCAAGAGGAATCTTTACTTCCTTGAAGCCAAGTGGTTCAGGGCAGGACTGGAGTTCAACAAGCCGAACTTTGGGGCACCAACATGTTGACCATTCAAAAGCTCTTGCCGTAAGAGAGGCTCGGATCAGCTTGTGAACGAGCGTGCACAGCAACAGTTTCGCAACTCCTTCAATTGATTTGGGTGGGAGTCACGAGCTCGTGCGCTATTCCAAAGACGAAAAAGGGCACATAGGCAATATTGAATCTTAACTAACTACCTTTGAAACAGCACTGAGTACAAGAGACCTAGATGTAGATGTAGACTTCGAAGTAAACTAGCAATGGGCCCACCAAGGATGCAGAAGCAGCCAAGGGTGTCTGGTATCTGCATCCACCTGCCTCGGGCCGCCATCATCATCGTCATAGTCATCAGAGCAGTGAGCAAGTGGGCGCGGAGCAACATTGAACAGCGCTGGTCCGTAGCATCAAAGCAACACCTGACGGCCCTGGGAAGCCGCTAAAGCCCGCACCCTCAGAACCCGCCAGCAAACACGCGTGACACAAATTGCCTGATGCATTGTCCACGCATCCTTGTTCCTCACCAGCCGATACTGATGCATATTACGCCTCACTTCATGGCAATACTGAAAAGGGGGCGCACATACCAAGGCCATGAATGCACCCCCGGATTCGAGTCTGGATCCACTGAGCCCAACTGGTTCTCATCATCTCAGTCAGAGTACGCAGCGCAGCATCAGCTGCTTAGTACCAACATCACCTGAAGCAATCTGGAACTGGCACCCCTTTTTGACCCCTCCTTTGGCTTTGGCTTGTCAGTCTGCCGCCGCGGGATCAGATGAAACGAACTCATCTCCTCCTCACCTTCAGCACATGTCTGTCCCTAAGGCTCTTGTTGCTGCCAGCAAGCGTCGCGCGTCTACAGTGAGTAGAGGTTTGCAGTTCACGTGCTTGCAGATTGCAGGTGGCACTTACGTCGCAAGAGGAGCACTCTTGGTAGATCATCTGAAGAGTTTTTCACACGCAGGACTTGCTCGCCTGGTGGCCCAAATGCTTAAAACTTGCCAGTTGCTGCACAAGTCCCTTGACAAGTTGCAACCAGCCTTGGCGAACAACTTGCTTTCATGTCGGCCCCCGCGCTTGGAAGGATCGTGGAGATTTACTGGGGGTTGATCTCTGACTGTCAGATCATATGACCCTACACCAAGCACGGGTCAACACCATGTTTGGCGCAACCCAGCACCACAACGGGCAGCAGCCCATACAAAAAGTTGGCTGCGTAGTCGTCCAATACACTTGAATGAAAAATGCCGTGGGTGAAGAGTACTTTGTGCAAACCGCGATCTTCAGCAGCAACCCCTTTGCTAGACAAAGACAAGCAGGTGAACTGTGCCAGGCACCACTTAGTCGGGTGGCCAAAACTGGCTGCCAGAAATCTACAAACAAATCTGCACCTTAGGTAAGTTGAAGGCTGGCGATGCTCGGGAGGAGCTTGAGACTCTGGTGACTAGTGGGCGTTCATCACTGGCGCAATCCGTCCTTGCATTGCTTCTGCGACTTTCACTGGCGTAGGTGTTACTATCACGCCCGCCAATTAAGAGGAACAACTCAGCCACGTCTTCTGCTGTGAATGAGTGAGAGAAAGAGTGGAAAACTCTCCAAGGGCAAGGCTTTCACAAGATTCTTCAATAGAGCAATCCGCAGCTATGCTGCTCCATGGAGTGATGGCTTTGACGTTTATCCTGATTTGCCACCGGTACAGGAGCTTTCCACCCTTCCAACTGCAGGCGAGACGTCTGCGTTACTACAAAGCATGCTAGATGTACATCCAAAGCAATGAGAAGGGCCGTTGCGCAGCAAAACGGCTCAGTGTCTCAAGGTAGTGAGCCCATCTCCTCTCCTGGCATCAACGACATGGATGTGAGCCCATGTCGCAGATGACGCTTGGAGGGTCAATCCTATGCGAAGTACTGCTGCAAGCTGAAAACCCTAAACCCTAAATAGCAGTTTCCATAATATTTTGCATTATCCCTATATTACCTCTATATAACCCCAATATATACCTATTGTAATGTAGAAGATTCCATGTTCTTTTCCAGTATCCCTACAAAACTCCAACATAGTCCCTACCTTTGGGTATATTATAATAAAAGCCCCATATACCCCATGTTCTACCTACTTAAGGGGGACTATATGTACTAGAATTACAGCAGCTGAAGGCCGCCATTCTCCACCTGGCCTCATGGACCGCCAGAAGGCTTCCCCGCAGCAGGAATTGTAATGACTTGACGGTAGCTAAGCTGAATACTAAGGATAATGCAAATAACAATACTACTAAATAGCAAAAATAGCACTAATGATTATTAATGAGAAAAAATGGAGCTACCATAGCTAACATGTCAGGATCCTTAAGCAGGTCAACAGGCCCGCCCTCCTCAGCCTCCCAAAGTTCACTGATCCCCTCCCTCAAACCCGCCTCCTTAATAGTTGCTGCTGCTCGTACCATAGGATATGTAGGGTGAGATGGGGATGTAATTATATACATCTAGATATAGATATACATATATATATATATGTAGATATATATATATGTAGATATATATATATAGAGATATACATATATATATATCTAAATATATATATATCTACATATCTGTATATATATATATATCTATATATGTAAAAAGATATATATATATATATATAGGTAGTCTAAGGTTTGGGGTTTTGTAGCACTGCCTGGAAGCTGGCGCTGGCCGCATCCCAGCATCCATGGCCCAGGTAGACCTCGCTTGGTTCTGTCTTTAGTCGTTAAAAACCTTGTTCGGGCTTGGTTTACTGGTACACCTTAAGGTTAAGTAGAAGGAGTTCTGCTGCTACTGCAAGAGGGCCGCATTCGTAAAAATGATGCAGCAGAGGTCTATACTTTCTGCTGTGTCAACGAGCTGGAAGACATCGGTCAGTTTGGTTCACGCAAACAGGCGCATCTTTTAATGGGATCCCGGCCTGCGAAGCGATGACCACGCAGAGCTGGACCATGGGCATGCTGAGGCACCCTAGCACCTGCGTTCGACAAATGAACCTGGGGAAGGACTGGATACTACTTTCCCTCGAGCCTGCAATACTGCCACAGGTGCTGGGATCTGGCCTTGCCGCCACATGCCAGCAGCAGGCCCTCGTCGTTGAGTATGCACTTCTCGTCCTCCTCAACCTCCTTGCGGAACACAGCTTCAAGATGCACTGGCACGTACAGATACGTACAGCGCACTGCTCTTGCTCATGCAAGTACCGCTGCGCTACCTCGGCCTCGTCCGCCTTGTTGAGCGGCATCGGATCCATCTCTATGCTTCCCCAGCTTGGGGATGACCTCGGGAGCTTAGGTTAGTGGATGCACAATCCAATCCGATCCTGCTTTTATTGGATGAAGAAAAGCACATGCACACCCAAGCCGCGCTTGGGCATAGCAGATGCACAAGCCAACAACACAGCAAGCGTCCGGGTGATGCCCAGGAGTTAACATCGCGAAGATGTTCACAAACATGCTTACGTGCCAGTTTAGCTACCGCAAGGCATGTTCCCACGACATTCTAGATGCGCATTAGCCCTCTGGGAGAACAAGGAAGGCACCCTCCGGTTGGTGATCTTCCAAGCTTGGCGAGCCCTGCATCTCTTGCGGCGCCAATAATCCGTGCAGCAACCTCAATTACTCAAGCGACGCCACGGGTTTATTTATCATTCTTCCACTCTCCAGCCTTGACAATATCAGCCGGCAGCGATTAATTCTGGTCGCAAGATTTATTGCAGCAGTAATATCTAAGTTCCATGCCTGATGCGGCAGCTGATCCTGCCAGAGCCACAAACCGTCTAGCTGCTCCAACGTTGTTCACGCCCAAGTCCATGCAAAGTCGACATGTTTTTAGTTGCTGCAAAGACTGTCAAATGACCTTTAGGCACGCGCATTGCACTCAAGCAGGCACGGGTCATTTGAGGAAACAGGTTGTAGTTTCAGAGGTTGCCGGCATCAGTGCATCAGTCTACTGCCTGTCAAGTTTTCAGGGAGAGGCCACAGCTCAGGCAACAAAACGCGGCAAAGCCGGGCAAGCAATACCCTGTAGCAATGAGCATCAAGCGGCAGGATAGGACCAACGACAAGGCACGGCCGCAAGATGCATTAGGATAGCAGAGCAAAGATTGGCCTTGAAGATTCTTTCCTGGACACCTCGCAAGCAACAGATGCCGATTCTACAATACACCACTGAAAAGAGTTGAAACTACCACAGGTGGCCTCGCGTCTTCGCGCGAAGAGCGACGTCAGGGTATCGGCCCTTGACAATGAGATAGTAGCCTCCATTCACCATTCGTGGCAAAACAAGGTCCCAACGCCGGCTTCCCTTCTGCCATACCACGCTTCGCAGCTTAGCTCTGAGCAAATAATGACCGTGGTGTACCTTATCTGCTGTGGCCACTGCACTGGGCTGCGCATGACGTGAAGGATTTCAACGGACTGTTCCCTCAACTGGACTTTAGTTCACTGAGCCTTCAGACTCACTAGCCTTTACAAGACCAGAGGGGCATCCTAAATGGCAGAGATTTCCAGCAGTCGCGCGTTACAGACCTGCCTTCTCTTTCCAACTGCCGTACTTGATCCCCTAGGCCTAGGCTCCATTCTTCATAGCATTTAGGGGCTATTTGACTTTGGACTCGGCAGGTGGGGTCTGCATGATGCATCTATGCTGACAAAATGCAGCATTGACAGGAGCATGCCCGCAAAGAAAACGGGCACAGCGACCCAAATCTCCGCCATGTCTCCCGTAACGAGCCTGGCAAAGGAAGGTTTCCAATGACTTGAGCAGGCTCCAAGTGGATGTGGCCTCCAAGGCAGCGTGAGAAGGTCGTATGCAAAAGCATAGCAAACCACCTGAAGTCACAACGCGCATCGGCCGGCGCCAAGTGCGCTACTACTTGCCACCGAGCGACAAAGAAGCCCAGAACAGCATGGGTCCTTCGTCGTACAATGACATGGAGTTTGTGTTGCCATATGATACGGAATACAAGCTTGCAGTACATAGCTGACCTAGCTAGCTTGGCAGAGGATACCACACTTTGGGTCTGAAGTCGTAGCTCCAAAGTAGAATCACAAGCAGCAAGATCGCGGGTCGTGCCGAAGAGAAAGAGCGGGAAGAAATAGATGAAGCACAGGCTGCCGCAGTACGCCTTTGCTCACTGCAGATGAATCGAATGCTTCACTGTGACTTCCCTAAGACTCTTAGCTGTCTTAGCTTGGCACAAAGGCGACAGTATCCGACAGAATGCTCAGCCTCAGAATCAAACACCCGACTGGTCGGCCTTTGAAAGGAAAGCAAAGGAGCGAGTCGCTGGATTGTGGCACAGGGCTGTCCCAAGGCCAGCACTTGTTAGGCTGAAGGAAAAACCGGCGGGTCCAAGTCATTTTTACCTGCTTCGCTTTGGGAGATCTCACAGAAACAGGCAGGTTGGCTGCAAGCTTTTGCACGGGTGCCTCGATCATCCAGGCTGCAGCTACTGCAGCCACAGTGTTGGGACCTTGCAGCAATGAGCCAGAGCAGAAATCCTTCCTGAAGGATACAGTTTGGGGCCATTGCTGAAGGCGAGCACGAGCGCCAAAGCGTGCATCTTCCTTCGGCGCAGCTTCGATTTCAAGTCTATGCAGCACTGGAAGCATGAGAACACGCCCTCACCAACTCCTACTTCCGACAACATGACTCAAAGGAGCTCTCAGTCAGGACAGAGTGCAGACTACCCCTACTTTGCAACTCCAAGCATAATGGGATTCCAACGTGTTCAGACAAGGCAAAATAGCAACGCAGGCGAACACAAGTTGATTAAACTCAATCTCCACCAAGAGCCTATCACGTGATCCAAAGCGCCAGTGACACGGATCGGGACCGGGGCTAAGATCTGAAAATACCTTTCCCGAAGTAGCATATCGGATATTGCCAGATTGAGGAAACAGGAACGGCAAAACGTGGAAAAAGAACCATGCCCCCCGCTGAAAGAAAACAAAAACTCGCAAGTGCCAAGCGACTGGAGGCCCTGGAGATGAGCCAGAGAGCTCATGGCCATCTGGGCATCCTGCGTGACTGAGGTTTGTAAGGTTTGCAAGCAGAGGCCTGTGCCATTTGCACCTTCCATGTGTTCGTTTCCGCTGGAATGCATTGAAGTTTCGCCGATGCAACAGCTGCGCTGCGCTTTGACTCAGTCTTAAACACACTGGACGCCGTAGACGCGCTGGCAGCATCCACACGCAGGCATGAAGTCTACGTGGTCCTCTAAAATTAAGCGCATCGAAGGCAAGGAACGTCCTTCTTGCAATGCAGCTCCCGACTCTCGACATGACATTGTGTGTAAGCTGTTTGCCTTGAGACCTGGGGGTTTTCAATTCCAGCAGCCATACTGTATGTTGAACAAGGGCTCAGCGCAGAATTCAAGAATCGCAGAACCGCATGTAACCTCCAAGTTCTAGGTGAAGTTTGCTGACCCTGTTGCCGGTAGGACGTTAGAGTGATTGTAGTGGTCCTGGACCTGGGACCATACCTCCCAACAGAATCGCCCAACTACTTAAGCACCTCACTCAACTCTGACCCCAATGCCCCAACAATCCGTGACGAGGGTGTTTGCAGCCAGCGCAAGGAAGAGTACCCGCAGTACAAGGCGAATCACCTGCGTCATCAGCATATCCAGTTGTTCAATCACAGCCAGCAGGTGCGAAAGACTCTGAGAGAAGGCTTCTAACCATGCTGACCGCGCATTGTGTCGAGCGAAGGGTGCTGCTCTCGCAAGAAACCAACCGCATCCAGCACTCAGACAGAATGCCCGAACATGGGTCCCGGTCGAAAGTCTACTCTACCACAGCACCTCCCTGCATTCCTAGCAGAACTAGTGGTCCCACAGCTGCCTTTGTCTTCAATGGTGCGTCAACCTCCTGCCAGAGCCAGGAAGGGATGCCACACGGCCGAACAGCTGAACAGCTGAAAGAAGAGTGATGGCAGTGGGCTTGAAGAATTCCAAAAAAGCGTGTCCTGGTTTAGGGCCCCACTCGTCTTCAGCAGAGGCTCATCAATCACCTCACGTCCAGCGCGCCCAAGCAGATTTGCAAAGTTCCTATCAAGTTCCCGAACATCTCTGAGCCCACTTCCCAAGCTGTGGAAACCAGCTTGACAGCAGCGGCGAGCACCGCCAGGGCGAGGGGGGGCCGAAACCTCGAGAAAGAGACCGTGTCCTCTTTGCCAACATGACTTGCACAAACCTTGACCGCTGTGCTCCAAAACCGAGACTCTGACAACGGATCCACATGATTCTCCAAGACGAACATGACGTGTTCTTCGAATCCGAAACTTCTGAAATGCATGCAGTAGCAGTGGACACATGTTAACGGTGCACTCATACATCAACGATCATCAACGGAGACATTCACAATCATGCACCTACAAATGTGTGGAGCGACTGCCTGAGCAAGAATTGTTCATGTGAAGAAGCTTCTTGCGGCTTGAGCCGACACTGCCTGCACTGGATTTGATGCATTCAGCAACTTCCCACAAAGGTTTCAACCAGTGAGCATCCATCCAAACTGCTTTGCGACTCATGCAATGGCCTGAGTCACCGCACTCGGCCCCACTGTCATGCCAAACATTTGCAGCCGGACCTTCTTGACAGGTGGCTGCTGAAGGCGGAGCAAAAGGCGCTCTTATTCAACACGCTTCACAGGCACAAAGACAACAGACCCTGGGAGATATTTGAAGACAGAAAGAATTATCTGGAGAGTCTCGTTATCGGTGTATGGTCATCCTCCGCGCGTCTGTCTGTCTACCTGCGCTGGGGCGGCTGCATATGGACTCGTCTAGTCTTAGGGGACAAGTTCTGCCCATGGTTAAGACCGTACAACGCTGGCTAAGCAGCTTCGCACTCCCCACTTCGTCCCCGCTCCCCTCCTCCAAACACGGAAATTCTGTCATAAAAATGCAACTCGGGCACAAGGAGGCGCAGCCGGTAATGCTTGCTGAAAAAATGTTGCTCTGATGCGAAGGTGGATGCACGCGGCAATTTGCACAATTGCCAAGCTCCGCGTCCTTCAACAGCTCTAGCATTTCAATTTGCAACTCACGCGGGCAGCTTTCCTGCGCCCAAGGGCCTGGATAGGCACCACCTCCTGCGTCTCCAATAAGGAGATCATCTAGAATCTAGAATCCATATCACACGGACGCAAACCAAAAAAAATCCTCTTGAGACACCCTGCACACACCTTGTGCCATATTACTACAATTGTGATCATTTAGCAGGTCCTCTTCTTCTTCGGGCTCTGCCCACCCCTTACGCACCCCGAGCCCTTGCACGTCCACGCGTCCATAGTCGGTACTGGCGAGGTCCGGAGTACTGCCAATTGCTGAAAACTACCCCATAGTAGTACAGTGTACCATATTGGAGTCTCTACTTTTCAGATCCTCCCATGGATCTGCATAGGCAATGATACTGTTCTGGATCACACTACATCGCGGCCTATCCCTGCCAACAATCAGCTATGGTTCTTGGCCCCCAGCGGTCGCCGCGCTGAGGAGGGGCTTTGGACGCACAGATGCGCTTCTCAGCTCCTAGAGCTTGCACATTCTCATACACATGTGTATATATATATATATATATGTATATAGGGTACCCCCCCCCCCCAAAGATC